AACTTAATTTTGTATTGCTATTGTACGATATAAATACTAAAAATAACAGTAATAAACAAATTTGTTTCGAAAAACGTTAGTAAAAAAATATTTTAAAAAATTACGTAACATTGATAAGGAGGGGGGGTGTAAAACGATTTTGTTACAACTTGTTACATAGGGGGAGGGGGGTTCAAAATTTCACTAAAAACGTGTTACGTAATTTATGGACGGTCCCTAAAATGTGGTTTAGTAATTCCGCCAGAGAATAATAGGTTGGGTTACAGTCCGAACGGAATAATTTTTGAAAACGGAAAGCCAACAAAATTAATCAGTAGTAAAGCTAGGAGACTTCTGGACCACTTACCTACAGTCGGTAAGGTAGATTTCTTAATTTCTTACTTTAAAGTACGTTAGAAGGGAGTGTTCTACCTTACCGACCGAGTTTTAGTACGTGCTGCCACCGCTAGATGGCACCACTTAATTTTTTGTTTAGTTTAAACCCTCTTGGTGGGGTATTTGAATTTTTTTTCAAAGTTTCAAGTGCGTTAAAGGGGGTGTTTTACTTTACCAACCGATTATTTTAGTTTAGGCTGCCACCGCTAGATAGCGCCATCATCGAATTCAAACCCTCTTGATGGGGTATTTGAATTTTTTTTCAAAATTTCAAGTGGCTTGGTTGGGGGTAATTTTAAAATTTTGCGCCTGATGGTAAGTATAACCGTCAGTAGGTAATGCAGTTGGGTGGTGGTGGTAAGTCTGGCGGGGACTGGTGTATAAGTTACGGAGCGCGAGCTACGATCATCAGTGGCTTCTTTTCGGGAGCAGCAGCAGCAGCATACAGTTTAGAATCGTTTTCAGTGTTTCCAAAGTGTTTTTCATAATTATTTTTTATCAATTTCAGGTTTGTAGGTGTTTTTTTTTGTTGTGGTGGTGGTTTTTCTATTTCAGGTTTTTAGGTGTTTTTTTTGTTTTGGTATTGGATTTTCTTTTTAAGGGTTTTTTATTCTATTCTTTCAGCTTTAGGTTTTTTAATTTTTATTTTAGTTTTATTCCTTTCTTTAAAATATTTTGCTTAGCTTTTTAGGCTTAGCTTCAACATGTCGAAGATTAAATCATCAGTGGAAAAAAAGTCGCGACATCGAATGAGTGTGGATGAGTACAACGAATTGTGTCGTGAGTCAGACAACTTCATCAACATCGCTGAACGTCAACTCATCACCACAATGGCAATGACAGGTGAAAAAAATGGCAAAACAAGTGTCAACGTAACAAAAATATTTTGCAAGCATTTTTAAAAAAATCTGATTGTTTTCCCTATCAGAAATCAAGATGTTTAAACCTAAGTCAAAAGTTGGAATACTTGTTTTGAAATTTTAATGCTTTAATGAAACGTGGTGCAGGTGTACAAATGGAGAATAAAAGAATGAAGTGGGTTGATTTCGATAAGGCATTTGATGGTCGTTTACATACTAGTGCTATTTTAAATATTGACTACATTGATGTTAATGAGTTTCTTGATGATGCCTTTGTTTTGTTTGAATTTAACATACGAAAAGCTTTAGATAAATATGGGCCGCTAAAAGTGTATACTGTGTTGGGCGCAAAATTTATAAAAGAGTCGATTAACGGAAAGGAAGAAATGAACAGTTATAATCCCATGCATGCTGGTTCATATATCGATTTACCACCTTCCATTAAAAGAAAACACGCTTGCATTAATATTTAAAATACTGATCAGCAATGCTTTAAATGGTCAATTTTGTTAGCTTTACATCCAGTTGAAAACCATGCTGTTGGAGTTTCAAAATATGCGTGTTATGAAGATAAGTTTAATTTTACTGGAATTCAGTTTCCTGTTGCTCTCAAAGATGTTTCAAAATTTAAGGCACAGAACAACATTTCAGTGAATGTGTATTAATTTATAAAAAAAGATAAAAAGGTTACGGTAGCTCCATTACATTTGTCATCACAAAAGAAGGTCATTCATGTAAATCTTCTTCGAGTTAAAAATCACTACATTGATGAAAATCTTAAGAGTGAGGAGAAAGAAGAAGAGGAGGACGATCAAAAAATCATATCTTTCAACTACCATTATGTGTGCATTAAAGATTTATCCAGACTTGTCAGCACTTAATTATCAAGTCATAGGGGTAAAAAGCACATCTGTGATCGTTGCCTGCATTATTTTAGATATGAACTTAAGCTAACTGACCATGATTAGATTTGTCAAAAGATGAATGTTACGAGTATTAAGCTTCCTGAACCAGGGAAAAATTTTATTGAATTTAAAAAAAACCAAAACAAGGAACGTGTGCCATTCATCATTTATGCAGACTCTGAAAGTATCCTGATTCCGGCGGAAGCACTACTGCAATCTTGTAATACTGAGATTTTTCAAAATCACAAAACTCTCTACATCCGGCTAAATGGTTTTCAACTGAATTGAAGAATGTGGATGGCAATCTTGACAATTTATTTAATAATTTTGTACCAGTAAAAGTGTTAAGTCGACAGCAACTAGATGATTTTAGATATGCCAGTACATGTCATATTTGTAGAAATAAAATCAAGTCTGAGGATGTAAAAGTACGAGACCACTGACATCTAACAGGAAAGTATCGGGGACCCGCGCATCAAGATTGTAACATTCATTATCATGAATCGCAAATAATATCTGCTGTTTTTCATAACCTTATCGGGTATGACGCGCATTTTATTATCAAAGCTTTGCTACAAAATTTGAGGGTAATGTTTATTTGCTTCCTATTAATAAAGAAAAGTATATCAGTTTCACGAAAAATGTAAAAGGTAGTTACATCAAGTTGCGCTTTATCGATTCTTTTAAAGTCATGGCATCATCATTGGACAAGTTAGCATCCTACCTTGACAATATAAAATTGTAAACACAGTTTTTCCAATTACAGTGCTGAAAAAATCAAATTGTTTAAGAGAAAAGGAGTTTTTCCTTACGAGTATGTCGACTCAAAGGAAAAACTTGATGAAATTGAATTACCGCTAAAAGAAAAATTTTATCGCACATTAAACGACTCAAATGTCTCTGATGAGGATTATGCACATGCGCAGAATGTGTGGACTGAGTTTGATTGTCAAAATTTGGGTGAATATGTGTACCGGTATATGCAAACCGATATTTTGTTACTCGCGGACATTTTTGAAAATTTTAGAAATCAATGTTTAATCGCGTATGGTCTCGACCCAGCCCATTATTACACGACACCTGGATTGACTTAGGATGCCATGTTAAAGTATTTGAATATAAAATTAGAGCTCCTCACTGACATCGATATGGTAATGTTTATCGAACACGGAATTAGAGGTAGAGTAAGTCAATGCACCAATCGGTACGCAAAAGCTAATAATCCTTATATGGAGGAATATAATGAAAGTGAGGAGGCATCTTATATCGTATACTTTGATGCTAATAACCTTCACGGTTAGGCAATGATCCAGTCAATTCCCTATGGTGGCTTCGAGTGGATAGAAAATGTTGACAATAGTTTTGATTTTAACGTCTCTGATGACGAGGTGACTGGCTATATTTTAGAAGTCGATTTGGATTACCCCAATGATTTGCATGATAAACATATTAATTTTCCGTTTTGCCCTGAACGCTCGAAGCCACCTGGATCTAAAGAGGAAAAGCTCCTAACTACCCTCCTACCAAAGAGAAAGCACGTGCTCCATTATCGCACGTTAAAACAAGCTTTGGCGAATGATCTTGTATTAGTAAAAATTCATCGTGTATTGAAGTTTAAACAATCCACGTGGTTAAAATCATATATTTATTTTAATACAACTAGAAGAACAAGTGCAAGCAATGAATTTAAAAAAAATTTATTTAAATTAATTAACAACGCGGTAACATAATCGCGAAACCTAACTTCCACAGCAGAACCATTTTTAATCCGAATTTGGTTGCGTGGAACTTAGAAAAATAAAGGTACTACTAAACAAGCCACTTTATGAGGGTTTAACAGTCTTGGATGTTTCAAAAACGTTAATCTATGATTTCCATTATGATTACATGTTAAAAAAATATGACGGGAAAAATTTAAAACTATTGTACACTGACACTGAAAGCCTCATCTACAAAATCAGATGCTCCGACATTTATGCAGACATGAAAGCAGATATTGATAAATTCGATACGTCAGATTTTCCTGTTAATAGCGTGTACGGTATTCCGCAAGCCAACAACAAAGTTTTAGGGTTGATGAAAGATGAGTGCAGTGGAAAAATCGTGACCGAATTTGTTGGCTTGCGGAGCAAGATGTACAGTGTGCGAGTTGAAAACAAAGATTTTATAAAAAAGGCTAAAGGTGTGAAAGCTGTAGTTGTTAATAAAAACATAGACTTTGATGATTATGTGTATTGTTTACAAAATGTAAAAATTCAATCCAACAACAAAGTTTTAGGGTTGATGAAAGATGAGTGCAGTGGAAAAATCGTGACCGAATTTGTTGGCTTGCGGAGCAAGATGTACAGTGTGCGAGTTGAAAACAAAGATTTTATAAAAAAGGCTAAAGGTGTGAAAGCTGTAGTTGTTAATAAAAACATAGAATTTGATGATTATGTGTATTGTTTACAAAATGTAAAAATTCAATCTAGAACGCAATATTGTATCAGATCAGACCTTCAGAATGTTCAGACTTTAAAACAAACAAAAATTGCTCTCAGTCCTTACGATGATAAAAGATTTTTGTTAGCCAACAGCACCGACACCCTTGCATGGGGGCATTGTAAAATTGCAGAAATTATGAAAGATGATGATAAAGCATTGTAAAAAAATTTTGTGGAGAGAGAGAATGTGTTATTTTAATAAAACAAAACCTGTTGTTCATTTTACTTTATGTCTTCTTTATTCAATAAAACCTTAATCTAGTTACATTTATTCAATAATATTACTTAAACTTATTTTAACGTTACTTTATTTTGTTTTAACATTACTTAAACTTATTTTAAAGTTACATTAACTTTTCTTTAACGTTACTTTAACTTTATTTTAACTTTAATTTAACTATATTACATATCAGATTTTTTATCCAACTATTATGCGAGCTATCAAATCCAAGCCTTTTCACGTAGACATCATTACCACGAGTTTTCAGGACTTTCTCAACAAGGTAAACATCTGGATACTGGACTTTCAGCAGTTCCTCCTCATAGAAACCACCTTCGGTGGGCTGATTTTGGTAATCTTTCAGCTTGTATGTTACTGGTTTTGTCGATTTAACTTGGTCCACAGTGAATATTTCCGTTGTGCAGTTGGGAGTATATCCTTTTTTGAAAATATTTTAAAATTTGCTGACTCGAACTCTATCTCCTCTTTTGAATTTTGATTTTTTCAGCGGAATTTTTCGTAGTTTACGAATACGTCTCAGCAGTTCTCTTGTATCTTCTACGGTAACATCTTTGGGTTTCATACCAATAGTACGATGCTTTTTATTATTGTACTTTGATATGAGAGTTAGTAAAAGATTAATCCACTTATAATTGCCTTGTAAGCTGAATTCAGGCCACATCATACTTTTCAGAGTGCGGTTAAATCTTTCAACAATTGAGGCTTTTAAATTACTATAGGTAGAATAGAGATTAATGTTAAATTCTTGCATTAAACTCTTAAATTCAGAATTGTAAAATTCTTTGCCTCTATCAGTGTGCTAATTTTTTGAATTCTGCCTGGTTTTAGAATAGTTTTCATAGCTAGAGAAATGTCCTAACTTTTCATTGTCCATTTTCAAGATTTGTTAAACGTGAATCCAATTTAGCGATGTATTTAGCGTTTTGAAAAGGTAATTCAAGTTGTAAATCAGTTTCAATCTGCTTAAGTTTTTCGTTAATTCTTTCCTCGATAGATTGTATAAGAATATTCAAGTCATCAATAGCTGATCTTGAAGATGATGTACTGCAAAGACAGTTTTTATTTCGTTTTTAACAATTTGTTTTACTTGTCTTAAATTTACTGCGTCGTGTTGGTCTAGCGTCTTGCACGTTGGAAAGTCTTTTGTTACACTACCGTCCGTGAGTATCAGGACGCCCCTTTTTTCATGAGTGGAATAATGCTTAAAACGTATAAAATAAGAATGACAAAAAGTTTTCGTATTCTTTACTTAAAGCTAATGAAATTATGAAAAGACTGACACCTGATCGAAGAATTTTGGTTGACTATTCTGTCAGATACAGAAAAAATCTCTGGATTTTGCATGCTTTTCGTAATTTTTTAATTTCTCGAAAACTAATTAACTTTTATTAGCGCTCTTGGTCTTGTTTTAATCTCTATTTAATGTAGAATCTAAATTATTAACTGGTATTGTGAATTAAATTTTTCCAGAAAATTTGAAACCGTAAAAGTAGGATTAAAAAAATTCAAAAATTATCATGAATATTAAAGTGTCGAAAAGGTCAATGTAAAACATGTTTATTTAATAGATATACTGAAATTCAAAAAAGCTTTCTAATTACTTAATTATTTAATTAAAAAAAAAATTTTTTTGTTGAAAAAGTGTCAAACTGTTTTTTAAAATGTTCTTATCCGACTTTCACAGTTTCAAATTTTTGTGGAAAAATTTATATCACAATACCATTAATTAATTCAGATTCTACATTGAATAGAGATGCAAACTCCAGTATTTTTTCTGTATCTGACAGAATAGTCAACGAAAATTCTTCGATCAGGTGTCAGTCTTTTTATAATTTTATTAGCTTTCAGAAAAAAAATATGAAAAATTTTTGTTAAGCATTTTTCCATTCATGAAAAAAGGGGCGTCCTGATTCTCACGGACGGTAGTGTAATTTCATTATTGTGGCTTGGATTTCCAGCTTGCTGCAATGCTACTAGCAGGCGTAATCGGTCAACTAGTTCATTAGGATCATCCCAATAAATGTAGTCTGGGTTAAATTGTTTCTTTGTAATCATAAATTGAGGTAATTTATTTCCAAGCTTCTTCTTCTTCCCTTTAAAAATACCTCTACCCTTTTTTAGTGTACTCTTAAAAAGTTTTGCAATGATATCAATGTATTTAGAACTCTTGTTTATGTTGACAGGTTCACTGGAACTATAATTCTTTCGATGTGCATTTGTAGCTACAAGAACTTCTTTATAATTTTCTAAATCATCTGGACTTATTAATGCTTGTTTAGGTCTTTGTTTAAATAAGAGTTGAATGAACCCAGTAGTTTTTAAATATTTTTTCTTTCCAGCAAGTCGAATATGAGGACCTTCTAAATCAACTGGTGTATCTCCAATCATAAAAGTACCGTTAGGCAGCTTACGTACTACATAAACCATGTCTAAAAAAGTTTTTCTGTTTTTATTTAATAATGAAATAAATTTATTTGTCAACTTTTCATAATTAAGATCTTCATCTGCTGCTTTTTCAAAGTTAGTACTGTTATCAAGTAGAGTGTCATTCAATAGTGTTTTATCAAATTCAAGTGCGTTAAAGGGGGTGTTTTACTTTACCAACCGATTATTTTAGTTTAGGCTGCCACCGCTAGATAGCGCCATCATCGAATTCAAACCCTCTTGATGGGGTATTTGAATTTTTTTTCAAAATTTCAAGTGGCTTGGTTGGGGGTAATTTTAAAATTTTGCGCCTGATGGTAAGTATAACCGTCAGTAGGTAATGCAGTTGGGTGGTGGTGGTAAGTCTGGCGGGGACTGGTGTATAAGTTACGGAGCGCGAGCTACGATCATCAGTGGCTTCTTTTCGGGAGCAGCAGCAGCAGCATACAGTTTAGAATCGTTTTCAGTGTTTCCAAAGTGTTTTTCATAATTATTTTTTATCAATTTCAGGTTTGTAGGTGTTTTTTTTTGTTGTGGTGGTGGTTTTTCTATTTCAGGTTTTTAGGTGTTTTTTTTGTTTTGGTATTGGATTTTCTTTTTAAGGGTTTTTTATTCTATTCTTTCAGCTTTAGGTTTTTTAATTTTTATTTTAGTTTTATTCCTTTCTTTAAAATATTTTGCTTAGCTTTTTAGGCTTAGCTTCAACATGTCGAAGATTAAATCATCAGTGGAAAAAAAGTCGCGACATCGAATGAGTGTGGATGAGTACAACGAATTGTGTCGTGAGTCAGACAACTTCATCAACATCGCTGAACGTCAACTCATCACCACAATGGCAATGACAGGTGAAAAAAATGGCAAAACAAGTGTCAACGTAACAAAAATATTTTGCAAGCATTTTTAAAAAAATCTGATTGTTTTCCCTATCAGAAATCAAGATGTTTAAACCTAAGTCAAAAGTTGGAATACTTGTTTTGAAATTTTAATGCTTTAATGAAACGTGGTGCAGGTGTACAAATGGAGAATAAAAGAATGAAGTGGGTTGATTTCGATAAGGCATTTGATGGTCGTTTACATACTAGTGCTATTTTAAATATTGACTACATTGATGTTAATGAGTTTCTTGATGATGCCTTTGTTTTGTTTGAATTTAACATACGAAAAGCTTTAGATAAATATGGGCCGCTAAAAGTGTATACTGTGTTGGGCGCAAAATTTATAAAAGAGTCGATTAACGGAAAGGAAGAAATGAACAGTTATAATCCCATGCATGCTGGTTCATATATCGATTTACCACCTTCCATTAAAAGAAAACACGCTTGCATTAATATTTAAAATACTGATCAGCAATGCTTTAAATGGTCAATTTTGTTAGCTTTACATCCAGTTGAAAACCATGCTGTTGGAGTTTCAAAATATGCGTGTTATGAAGATAAGTTTAATTTTACTGGAATTCAGTTTCCTGTTGCTCTCAAAGATGTTTCAAAATTTAAGGCACAGAACAACATTTCAGTGAATGTGTATTAATTTATAAAAAAAGATAAAAAGGTTACGGTAGCTCCATTACATTTGTCATCACAAAAGAAGGTCATTCATGTAAATCTTCTTCGAGTTAAAAATCACTACATTGATGAAAATCTTAAGAGTGAGGAGAAAGAAGAAGAGGAGGACGATCAAAAAATCATATCTTTCAACTACCATTATGTGTGCATTAAAGATTTATCCAGACTTGTCAGCACTTAATTATCAAGTCATAGGGGTAAAAAGCACATCTGTGATCGTTGCCTGCATTATTTTAGATATGAACTTAAGCTAACTGACCATGATTAGATTTGTCAAAAGATGAATGTTACGAGTATTAAGCTTCCTGAACCAGGGAAAAATTTTATTGAATTTAAAAAAAACCAAAACAAGGAACGTGTGCCATTCATCATTTATGCAGACTCTGAAAGTATCCTGATTCCGGCGGAAGCACTACTGCAATCTTGTAATACTGAGATTTTTCAAAATCACAAAACTCTCTACATCCGGCTAAATGGTTTTCAACTGAATTGAAGAATGTGGATGGCAATCTTGACAATTTATTTAATAATTTTGTACCAGTAAAAGTGTTAAGTCGACAGCAACTAGATGATTTTAGATATGCCAGTACATGTCATATTTGTAGAAATAAAATCAAGTCTGAGGATGTAAAAGTACGAGACCACTGACATCTAACAGGAAAGTATCGGGGACCCGCGCATCAAGATTGTAACATTCATTATCATGAATCGCAAATAATATCTGCTGTTTTTCATAACCTTATCGGGTATGACGCGCATTTTATTATCAAAGCTTTGCTACAAAATTTGAGGGTAATGTTTATTTGCTTCCTATTAATAAAGAAAAGTATATCAGTTTCACGAAAAATGTAAAAGGTAGTTACATCAAGTTGCGCTTTATCGATTCTTTTAAAGTCATGGCATCATCATTGGACAAGTTAGCATCCTACCTTGACAATATAAAATTGTAAACACAGTTTTTCCAATTACAGTGCTGAAAAAATCAAATTGTTTAAGAGAAAAGGAGTTTTTCCTTACGAGTATGTCGACTCAAAGGAAAAACTTGATGAAATTGAATTACCGCTAAAAGAAAAATTTTATCGCACATTAAACGACTCAAATGTCTCTGATGAGGATTATGCACATGCGCAGAATGTGTGGACTGAGTTTGATTGTCAAAATTTGGGTGAATATGTGTACCGGTATATGCAAACCGATATTTTGTTACTCGCGGACATTTTTGAAAATTTTAGAAATCAATGTTTAATCGCGTATGGTCTCGACCCAGCCCATTATTACACGACACCTGGATTGACTTAGGATGCCATGTTAAAGTATTTGAATATAAAATTAGAGCTCCTCACTGACATCGATATGGTAATGTTTATCGAACACGGAATTAGAGGTAGAGTAAGTCAATGCACCAATCGGTACGCAAAAGCTAATAATCCTTATATGGAGGAATATAATGAAAGTGAGGAGGCATCTTATATCGTATACTTTGATGCTAATAACCTTCACGGTTAGGCAATGATCCAGTCAATTCCCTATGGTGGCTTCGAGTGGATAGAAAATGTTGACAATAGTTTTGATTTTAACGTCTCTGATGACGAGGTGACTGGCTATATTTTAGAAGTCGATTTGGATTACCCCAATGATTTGCATGATAAACATATTAATTTTCCGTTTTGCCCTG